ACATGGACTCTGCTCGGGCTGAAGCAGAGCAGGTCATGTTTGGTTGTCTGGATAACTTATTCCAGAACACTAATCTCAACCCCAAAGAAATTGGTATCCTAGTTGTGAATTGTAGCTTGTTTAATCCCACCCCGTCCCTGTCCGCCATGATTGTGAACAAGTACAAGCTTAGAGGGAACGTCCGGAGCTTCAATTTGGGCGGAATGGGGTGTAGCGCCGGAGTTATCGCCGTCGATCTTGCGAAAGACATGTTACGAGTTCACCGGAACACCTACGCCGTCGTCGTCAGCACGGAAAACATAACCCAGAATTGGTACTTCGGGAACAAGAAATCTATGTTGATCCCCAACTGTCTCTTCCGCGTCGGCGGCGCCGCCGTTTTGCTCTCCAACAAGGCGTCGGACAAGAAGAGAGCGAAGTATGAGCTCGTCCATGTAGTCCGGACCCACAAGGGGGCGGAAGACACCGCATTCCGGTGCGTTTACCAGGAACAGGACGCCGCCGGGAAAACAGGGGTGTCGCTGTCGAAAGACCTGATGAGAATCGCCGGCGGAGCACTGAAGACAAATATCACAACCCTGGGGCCGTTGGTGCTTCCGATCAGCGAACAAGTTCTGTTCTTTGCCACCCTCGTCACCAGAAAGGTTTTCAAGAATGGGAAAATCAAGCCGTACATCCCAGATTTCAAGCTGGCATTTGAAAACGTGTGCATTCACGCCGGCGGGAGGGCGGTGATCGACGAGCTGGAGAAGAACCTGCAGCTTTCTCCGGTGCACGTGGAGGCGTCGAGAATGACGCTGCACCGGTTCGGGAACACGTCGTCGAGCTCCATCTGGTACGAGCTGGCCTACACGGAGGCGAAGGGGAGGATCCGGAAGGGAAACAGGATATGGCAGATCGCGTTTGGGAGTGGGTTCAAATGCAACAGTGCTGTTTGGAAAGCTCTGAGGAATGTGAAGCCTTCTCCAAACAGTCCATGGGAAGACTGTATTCACAAGTACCCAGTGCAGTTGTCCACTAATTAAATTTGTAATGTTGGATATGAAGTTGAATATATTATGGAGTGTAGTACTAGTAATGATGTCATAATGTCTGGTTTAACTGATGTTTGTGTTTGGATTATGACTTTAGTACTCCCACTTTAGTCCTACCTCCCTTCCTAAACAAAGTAACAGTTTTACAGTTTGATATTGGTTCAACGGTAGACAACATTGTTTTGATATTGTTTGACATTTTTGACACTGTTTTGCATTATTTCGTACTATTTTAATGTAGATTTCTTTGCCAAATAAGGAAATAAGGGAAAGGTGACTCTGTTCTTGAAACATCCAAAAAGGAAAGTGTGACTTTTATTCAAAAAACGGAGGGAGTATATGTTTGACATATTTAGCTAATTAGAGCACCTCCAATGCAAAAACGTGAATGATGTATACGTGACGTTAGCGATAACCAATTAAAAAACAACAAAAAGAATATCTTTCATTATTTGAACGATCTTATATATTTTAACGATCTTATAAGTTTTTCCCAACAATGTCAAACACAATGTATATATAGATGTAGTCATTGTGGTTGATATTGTTGGGAAAAACTTAAAACACATAAGATGGTGAAAAAATGAGACAAAGATGTCATAACTTCAATCTTTTGTCTCTCTACTAAGCCATTGTGCGCATTGTACCGATTGTAGCATTGGATATACTCCGTATCACTTTGCATTTAAAGTAACATACCTCAAATTTTTTATTATCTAATCACCTACTTTTAATTTTTCTGATCTATTTATTAGTTTACTTTAGATAAAATTATGCTTTCTTTGTCCAATATTGAAGGGTAAATTACGAATTTTCAAGTTGGTTGACAATAAAATAAAACAATCGATGCTCATAGCTAAATCAGTGATAATAGTTAAAACTTACATATTCAAAAACTGAAAATTCTATAAAGTAACAATGAATAAATTAAAATATATGGAGTAATAAATTTTGATACGATAAACAATAAGTAAATAAAAGGACCTTTTCCCAAAAAAGGTAAATAAAAGGACAACTATATTGTTAAAGTAAATAAACAAATGAGTTGATATGATATAGTATAAAAAGTAAATAATCATTTCATGTTAATCTCTTTTATACTCCCTCCGTGCCTAAATAAACTTCTAACTTTTCTTTTTCGTCCATCCCAATTAAAATTTTCACTTTCCCTTTTTGACAAAGAATTTGTGGTTCACAATAATTCTTACACATTTCTCTCTCCTCTGCACAATTCTTCACCACACAATACTCACTATCTTAAACTGTATGTCAAACCTATTTGGAAGATATAATAGGGAAGAAGGGAGTAGTTGTAATAGAAAGTATCTTGGTCATTTCTTTATTAATATGAATGAAACCTACTCGTCTACAAAACGAGTTGAACGAATTATCATAAACACATACTCCGTACTATACATTAAAACTGAATTTCATTTGAAAAAATAAATAAATGAAAGGCATACGAATGGAGGGGTGAGTACTGCACTACTGCCAATACCCCTTGAAGGGAACATGAGAATTTTAAAGGCAACAAACTCAAAACAGAAGGATCAAAGAGCATGAAAAATTAGCTTGCCTAAGAACCTGCAGAATACACGGCCATCACAGAAGTAATCTACACATGTCAAAGAGGAGCCTAAATTTAGACAGAATCAATTGTACTTGTAAGCAAATATCACATGATGACTAGATGAGGGCAAATTATAATCCAAAACCTTAACCAAGTTGACGAATAGAAGATGCAAAAGGGGTTTTATTTAGTCGGACTTGGGGGATAAATATATAGAACATCATGTCTAACCAGGGAGAGGGCTAGAACACGGGGACGGACTGAGCCAATACACAAAATGAAATTACACGGAATTTTTATCTTAATAATTAAGGCATTTTAAAATTTAGGTTGGACGAGGGCCTAGGTTGGCCCCTCTAGATCTGCCCATGTGTCTATCAATATAATTATGGGAATTTTGTCCTAAACATGACTAAATTGTTGTTGGAATTCCAAAATAGGAGTAATCTTATTTTATTCCTTAAATAGGATTTTTATTCCAAAATTACCCTCCTATTTTCTTGAGACACACACAACACTCATCTTTTTCGCTCACTCCTCCGTCCTTTCATCCATTTTCTTCACTCACACGCACACAACAGCCATGAGCTAATCATCTTCTTCGCTTACCCCTTTTCAATTATGCTCACCATCTACTATGATTTCCTCCTCAGGTTCACCCATCCGCTAATAATCTCTCTTAAATGAAGTTGCATGACAACGAGCTTTGAGATGCGGCGAGCGGAGATGATCCTTTCTTATCCGGTCACCATCTCCAGCCTGCAGCTACGAGCTTCCTGGTGCAGCGAGTAGTGGGGATGGCCAGCAAGGGAACTTCAGCAGTTCAGATTTGGTGGCTGGAGTAAAGTGTTGGACCCAAGGATTTATTTTACAAATGGGCAAAAGAGTCAATGGGTTCAAATGTGTAAACTGGCCCAAGATCTTTAGAAGAGGTCCAAGCAAGAAATTAAAGAAGGGATAAGATCAAAACATAAAGTATCTTGTTAATCTCACAATCCTTCCTTTTTCTCCGCCTCTTCTTCTTTGGATTTGCCTTTCCCCCTTTTCTATTTCGTTGCATGTGCTAGTTGAAAAAAAAAATGAGATGTTGCTCTCAATGTTCTTTGTTCGTGAGAAAATGCGAAGTTATACTATGCAAATGTCATGATAATGACATTTTTCTCTCTTTAAAATTTCATATTTTTGTTTGAAAATGGCTTTTAGATGTCATTCTCGACTCATGTTGGCATTCTCATAAAAATGTTGGCATCAGCTCCGACGGCGGCCATACCTGCAACAGTGGAGGCCAGATCGATCTATAGCGCGGAGGCCGGATTTGCAGCAGCAACGACCAGATCATCTGCAAGGTCGATGACCAGCGACAGTCGTCCGCCAGATCCGGCAAGATATGCGGTGGCTTGGCCTATGGCTTGGCCTGTTTAATAATCAAACTAGTTTTGGGATTTTAAAAAAGCTCGTTTATCTATATAGGATAGGCTTAGCCCAACTCTAAGGCCTTTTTAGCTTAAAAGGCCGGCCTATTTATGTGTATGTGTGTGGATATATTTGTATATATATATTTATGTTTTTTGTATTATTTACATTTATATTTATATTAGTATACTTAACTATATGAAATTAGGCATATTAGTATTTTTATGGAGTGTAAATTATAAATCAGAATAGAATACTATTTTAAATACGGAGTATATAAAATGTGTTAATAGTTTATTAGGGTAATTGAAATTCAAAGTTTTTCAAAATTTGAAATATACATAAAAATTTAGAAACTACATAACTAACGTATTATTAGACATTCGAAGCAAAACCAATGTATTATTGGACATTTTTAGTGAATATTGGGGAGTGGGGGTGGGGGTAAATTTTATATCAATTAAAAGGAATTTTCACTTTTTATTTTTAATTTTTTCAGACCTAGTAAACAGGCTTCATGTCAGGTCAGGTTTTTAAACAAACCAGACTCAGGCTTAAAAAAATAGACCTTTAACAGGTAACAATTTAGGCTCGGGTCTATATATTCAAAAACAGGTCTGGCCTGTTTTGGCAAAAGCCTGACCTGACCTGTTTCTCCCTACTATTCTCACAGATGTGATATCATGCTTTCCTAAACCATAAAAATAAAACATAAACTAAATAACATGCACATATCAATACAGATCATTGATTTTATAAACCATTTATTTTGGGTACAATTTGCCAACTATTAATGTCTGCTCCCATACAATGATCAATAGCATTCATTTAAAAGAATATTAATGGATATGTGCTCCAGGCAAATGCTAGTGTTCTTGGATCTAAAAAGTAAAAAAAAAAATATGCAATTACTTCGATGCAAATGCCGGTCATAAGGACATCTATATAAGCCATATATTGCTTAAGTACATATACATTTGATCATTTTCAAAAAATCATATAGTAGTACATCTGTACAAAAAATCATATAGTAGTACGTCTGTGGTCATGTACTGATCTAAGATGCTACCAGCTACCAGACTTTGCAAATCTCATACACTTTTACATTTCAATTTATTTTATCCAGCTTCTCCAAATAAATTGATTTGGTTCTACAAATCAGTTAAAATTATACGCATATTGGTTCTACAAATCAGTTAAAATTATACACATATTATACAAAAGACTGAAAGAGCATACCATATTAGAGATCTATATTCGTTTCATCATTATTGCATTTTTACTCAAATCCCATGGTAACAGGAGTATAGTGGAACATTGGCGAGAAGATTTGCTTCTAATGAGCTTGATGCCTTGATATCCCAAACTTTGGATTAGTGTGAGGTAAACATCCCAAACTTGCATATGTAATTTAAATATCCCAAATTTTATATAAAAACTTATTTTAACACTATGGCCATGCATTATTCCTTTCAAAAATGTTATTTTTTGTGCTAATTTCATAATTTAAAATATTTTAACATTCTAAACTTCTATTTTAAATAAATAATACCACCTCCACTTTATATAATTTAAAAAAATTTAATATACTATTTTAAATTATGCAATTAACACCATAAACTTACATTTTTGAAAAAAAAAATATGACCATGACGCTAAAATAACTTTTTATATAAAGTTTGAGATATTTAAATTACATATACAAGTTTGAGGTGCTTATCTCACACTTATTCAAAGTTTGAGGTATTTTAATTATTTTGGAGAATTTGAGTTGTTGAATAACAAAAAATATTAAATGACACATCCATTAGAATTCGAAAAGCCAAAAGATTTAATATGGAAAATATGTAGTACAACTACATTTAATCATACCAGGTGGCCAGACCATTGTATTGAAATCTGATGTTGAGGAAGTCTAAAAGACAAATTTTGCAACGGGCTAAGCATTTTTTATGTTGAAATGAATTGAGTCATGATTGTGTTCACACTTCCCACTCAAATGTGACAATAATTAGCCTGGAGAAGCAAATCATAGGGAAGCTAGAAAGGCAGTCAGCAATTCAGCATAATTAGATACGTAGTATATAGATTGGCGTTTCTTGCTTGTGTAGCATACTAGAGCTGCAGCAAACCCAGGAGATTTAGGAAATGGGGAGAGACCTGAAACACATCGACTTCGCTGCCGTGAGCAAAGCCTTGAGGTCCAGTTCTCTGGCTTGGAATAATGCTAAGATCGAGTATGACCAGATTGTTGAGGTGCCTTACCACAGTTTGGTTACTAAGAAGAGGGACGGGTCCGATTGCCGCAAGGTGATAAGCCAAATTAACTCCTCTTTGTTGCAGAGGATAAATGGTGGAGTCAATGCTCTAATCGCTAAGTCCTTTGTTATTGAGTATGAGCTGAGGTGCAACATGGACAATGATCCCATTTATGGGAGGATAGAAAATTTTAGCTTATCCTTTACCGTTGATTGGAACGTCTGCCACATTGATATAACATGCGTCCCAGGGCCAATAGATGCTGTTGTTGTAGATGCTGATCTTCGGGCTATGTTGAATGAAGGGATTGTTCGGAATTTGAAAAAATTCGCAGGTCTTACTGGCCTGTATCCTAAGCAGGTACGGGACACTCACAAGGCGGCTCAGTTGATAAAGGTGTTTTGGCATGGTCTAATTGGCCAGAGCAAGGTTACCCGCTTGGTCAAGGGGTGCCTTATGTATTTAGAGCGATTGGAGAAAGGGCCGGCTGAGTTTAAAGCATACAGGCCGAACACACTTAGGTATACAGTTGAGGATCTTCTTCCTACAATGGATTACGGGGAAACGGCTTATGTGTTTACAACAAATGAGAGTGGTGTTTCTTCAAATGCCATTCTGTATGGTATGTGTGAGGAGTACCCACACCCAAACTTCGGGGGGTATGAGCACATATCGATACCAGCTGATGGTAAAACCATCTATCTGGTAGGGTATGAGCTAGAGCAGTTTAAGACTGATGTCCCCGGAGATGATCTGGGGGACGTTGATCCAGTACGCTGACCAGTTTAATATAGGGTCAGCTTTAGAACAAGCGCTGATCATTGCTTGCTCACTTAAAGAGAATAGATATATGGTCCGAGGGTGCTTGCCCCAAGTGTTTAGTCGTTGTGATTTAGTGTACCCGGCACTCACGCGCAGCAAGGAGGGTGTGAGTGGGAACACGATCATAAACGCTGCTGAGGCAACCATGGTTGGGAGGTACCATCAGATGGTGAATTTTGTCCTCTTCAAGGATCTGGATGTTAGCTTGCAGAACACGAGGTTCAACCAGAACCGTGATCTAGCCTCTATCATAGGGAGCCACCACCTCCAACTTATGGAGTACATGGATGACATCGGAGTTGTGGGATATGTTGAAGGTGAACAAGGCATTCACTTGGCTCACAAGCTTGAGGTCTGCTGACATGGACAGGTTGCGGCAGATGAGTGTGTTTGAGGGTTTCTGGCTTATCAATTACCCCAAAACTGTGTTGAAGGATGGGGTAATCAAGTCACTTAAGAAGGGATACAAAAACGGTATTAGCATTATGATGCCAGGGGTGTTTTTTGATAGTTTTGAAACTCTGATGCGCGAAGTTGAGATAGGTAGCGGTAAGTATCTGGCAGAGATACCCAACGGTGGCTTTAATGTGAGCTTTACGAATCTTTCATGTGAAGCGCCACCTGTGAGGAATATAGTCTTTGATAATGAAGGGGAGATGGAGGTTGGATTTAATTATGACTTCCTGGGGCCGAAAACGTTGATGTTCCAGTCTGTTGGTGAAGTGGCCACGCCTTCGCGTTTCCACATATATAGAGAGGATGCTGAGTATGGATGGGAATGTGGGTCTAATGGCGAGTTTCCACCTGAGGCAGAGGATGAGCATAGCCCAAAGGAGAAACAGCCTCAGGGGGGGATTAAAGGAAACAAACTCAAACAGAATGATCAAAGAGAATGAAAAATCAGCTTGCCTAAGAACCTGCAGAATACATGGTCATCACAGAAGTAATCTACACATGTCAAAGAGGAGCCTAAATTTTGAGAGAATCAATTGTACTTGCAAGCAAATATCACATGTTTACTACTCCGGGTATAAAAATATTCTTGTTCTTATATATTCCTTACTCTCTCAAATCTCATCGACCTGTTCTTATAAAGATGGATGGGGATGAAAAATCAGCATCTTACAAAATAATGACTTTGGTATCCGTTTGTTTGGATGATGTGATTTGTTTCAATTGAGATTTTTTCTGATAATAGATCAATATAATGAACTTCTGAATATAGGAATAATGGAATATACCTCCTGTATAGTATATGTTTTTCCTAATAATCCAAATGGGGTTTCTTACATAAATGTCATGACACTCATCTTTGATTATTGATGAGGACACTAAGTTTAAAAACTGTTACAATAATCCAAAAACCCAATTGCTAAAAACATGAAACAAATTATTTAACAAAAACAAACATACCTGTAGTAAAACTTACTCAAACCTCAGTCCAGTTTAGACACTTTCTTGATCTATTTTTTGACGTTAAAAGTCCTCTATGCCCTAAAACATTCTAATGCAACAATTCCATTAACGTTTTGAGTGACAATGATTGACCATAATTACTTGAACATGTGAATGCTCACGAACTCACATACACTAAAAAGAACAAAACCGTATACAAACATGTCCTATCAATTTGATGCTACCCTGCTCTTAGCAACATCCATCAATTTTTAACATCCAAGTTTCCAACATCTGATGTCCCAAGCTTCCCATGTCTATCAAGATCTTCCTCTAAAAATTATTCAGAGGCATTCTCCCTGTACCCTGTTTTCTGTACACGTATTTTGTTTGTGAATAGGCTAGTCACACACAAAAAAATAGTTTTTGTTCACCGATGCGTGCACAACACGTATACAAATAGGCGTGTACAAACATTTTTTTCAACTCCTAATCCCAAAACATTTAGAGTATGTTTGCAAAAAATAAAAAAGTTGATTTTCAGCTTTATGCTAAAAAAAGCTGAAAAAAAAGCTTTATGTTTTGAAGTGAAAACTTTTGCTTAAATTAAAGAGATAATTATCCTAGATATGACTAAAACTTCTTCGCTTTTCCAATCTATAATCTAACTAGTTCTTTTATCAAAATAATACTAAAATTCATAATATTTAATTAAAAATCGTCATTAATAATTAATAATTAATTTAGGTGGACAAATATACCCTTTAGTTTACACCTATAAAACCCTAACCTCCTACCCATTTTCTACAACCCTAGCTACAACCTGCCCACACCCAGCCACTCTGTCGTCCATCCGCCCCTCCCTCCAGCCGCGCCGCCGTCCAGCCACGCCGCCGTCTAGCTACGCCGCCGTCCAGCCGCCACTAGCCGTCCAACGTCGCCGCCTTCCACATAATGTTGGGATTGGAAAATTCTTCTATTCAATATCAAGAACAGAATTACAATAGGAGGAGCAAACTCTCACACTCAACTATTACAAAAAACCAATCCTCACCAATACACTTCTACACTAAGTGTATTTCACTCTTCACACACTTTTCTCACTTTCTAAACTGATACTATGAACAACAATGGAGCACTCTATTTATAGGACTAGTTTGGAGACAAGAGGAAGTTGCATCCAAGCTTCCAAGGTATCTCCATATCTTCTCCCACACCTATTTGTTGGAGAGCTCTTTCCAAGAAGGTGCCTCCATGTTAAGGTGTCTCTTGGAAACTTCCAAGAAAGAAGGTGGAATATCTCTACAAATCTCCCCCTCCACCTTTTTCTTTGTTTCTCTCATTCTTGCGATGCTTGCTGGCTCTCCCTCGCTGACAAGTATCCATTCGGATGTGGAATACTTTCTCTGTGGAACTATGCCTCGCATAGAACGTCGAACATGAGTAACTTCAGCTTCGTCTTCAGATGAAGGCTCCCCCTGCTGAGGAATATCATCACTGTGAGTATCATCATCACCTACTGAACCATCACTCTCTTGTTCAGTAGTATCATGCATCTCCTCGTCGCTGAGAGGAATGTTTGATGATACAGACACTTCGTCTTCTGGAGTATGTTGTTGGCGGATTATTGGAGCACACCCATGAAACTCGTTTTCATGAAATACAACATCTCTACTTCGTACAACTTTCTTCACTTCGGGATCCCACAACCGGTATCCGAATTCTTCATCACCATACCCGATGAAGATGCATGGGTTTGACTTGATATCCAGCTTCTGTCTCAACTCCTTGGACACATGTGCAAATGCCTTGCACCCGAACACTTTTAAGTGAGAGTAAGAAACATCTCTTCTTGACCATTTCTTCTCTGGCACTTCAAAGTTTAAAGGAACAGAAGGTGACTTGTTTATAAGATAACAAGCTGTCAGCACAGCTTCACCCCAGAATGGCTTAGGTAGTTTAGCCATACTCAGCATGCAACGAACTTTCTCCATAATGGTCCGATTCATTCTTTCGGCTACACCATTGTGCTGTGGAGTTCGTGGAACCGTCTTCTCATGTCTGATTCCATATGCAGCGCAATATGCTGAGAACTCCCGGGAAGTGTACTCTCCTCCATTGTCTGAACGCAGGCACTTCAGCTTCTTCCCTGTTTCTGTTTCTACCATGGCATGAAATAATCTGAAGCGATCAAACACTTGATCCTTACTCTTCAAACAATAAGCCCATACCTTTCGTGATGCATCATCAATGAATGTCACGAAATATCTGCTTCCTCCAAGTGACTCCTCTTCAATGGGTCCGCATACATCAGAGTGTACAAGACTGAGTAACTCTGAATGGTTCTTCCTGGTAGAACTGAAGGAAACCCTGTGTTGTTTCCCGAATAGACAATGTTCGCATGGATCTAGGGCAACACTTTTGCCCATGGAAATGACTTCCTTCCTAGCAAGAGTTGTCAATCCCTTCACGCTTAAGTGGCCTAACCTCCGGTGCCACAAGTTTGGTGATATCTCTTCTTCAACAGCATTGAGACTCGGATGACACAACTTTGCATGAGTTTTATACAGAGTACCACAAATATGGCCTCTTGCAACAACCAAGGAACCTTTAGATAACTTCCACGTACCTTCTTTGAATCTGTTAAGATATCCTTGTTGATCCAGAGCTGTACCGGAGATAAGATTCAATCTAAGATCCGGAACGTGTCGAACATCTTTTAAAACAAGTGCACATCCGACATTGGTTGTTATGTGCACATCACCAATGCCAACAATCTTCGAGAAACTGGTGTTTCCCATCTTCACAGCTCCAAAGTCCCCGGACTTATAAGATGTGAATAAATTCTGGTGTGGAGTGGCGTGAAATGATGCGGCTGTATCAATCACCCACTCAACATCATGAGTACCTACGTGTAAACATTCTTGTTCACCATGTGTAACAAGACACACGTCTGATGACAAACTAACCATGGTCTCACCGTCTTCTTGGCTAGTATTTTGACTCGTCTGTGGCTGCTCTCGTAGAAACTTTCTACAATCTCTTTTTCTATGCCCATAGTTACCACAATAGTTGCAATATCCTTCAAACCAAGTATTGTTTTCACAGGACATACCTCGTTCTTGTGATCGGCCGCGAACTTGAGAATTTCCTCTGTTTTGACCTTGGCCTCTACCTCAACCTCTACTTCTTCCTCCATTTCTGCCTCCCCCTCGTCTGCTGGTTTCTGACACGAAGGCATATGATTGTTCAGTCCCGGCTTCTTTTCTTCGGGCTTCTTCGTTCATAAGGGCATCTGTGACCATCTGCATAGTCACTTTGCCATTGGGAGCAGAATTGCTGAGAGTGACAACAAGAGTCTCCCAGCTGTCAGGTAGAGAGCTCAAGAGTAGTATCGCCTGCTCTTCATCTTTGAGAACCCATCCTGTGGTGCTCAACTGATTCACAAGATCCTGGAATTGACTGGTGTGTTCTGACACCGAAATACCTCCTCGTAACTTGTGGTTTACTAATCTCCTCATTAGTAACGTCTTATTTCGGGCGGTTTTTGCTTGATACATGCTACCAAGCTTCTCCCATAGTGTGTAAGCACTTTGTTCTTGCGCAACATGGTGGAACACACTATGATCTATCCACTGTCGAATTTGTGCGACAGTTTTTCTATTCATTTTTGTCCATTCTTCATCCGTCTTTTTATCCGGTTTCACGCCATTATTATCAAGAGGATCGGCTAAATCCCTCAAATTTAGCAAATCCTCCATCCGAGGCTTCCACATATTGTAATTTGTGGAAGTGAGCGCAATCATGGTGTCCGATGATGATTTATCCATAATAAAACGCTCAAAATATCTCGTACCTTATTTTCGGAGCCGAATTTGGACAAACGAAGCTCACCGTTGGATCCGGAATGGCCGAAAATGGCAAGAACCGGTCTGACCTCGTCCAAAACCGGTCTGAAAATGGGTGAACCGGCCTCCACAAGTACGAACCGGTTCGGTCCGGTTCAGGCAGCAGCCCAGTGAGCAGACCAGCAGGCGGATGACGTGGCAACAGCTGGCTCTGCGCTGGCGCTGATGTGGCGCCACGTGTCGCTGACGTGGCGCTGACGTGGCACCCAGATGATGGCTTGCACGGCTGACGTGGTGGATGACGTGGCGCTTACGTGGACTGACGTGGCGCTGACGTGGCGGCTGACGTGGCGGCTGGCGTGGCTCGTCTTCTTCCTCTGGACTGCGTGCTGACGCAATGATGACGCAGGCAGTTTTCCGGCGCGTTTGGGCGGCGCGTACGGCCTCTTCCGGTGGCCAAAAAATTCCCCAAAAATACCAGATTTCTCGTCTCGACGAGACGAATCTAACGGTATGATCAGATCGTGATTCCGAGCAACTTGAAAAATCACGATTTTCTAACCTGTAGAAATTTATCTGAAAATGAGAAAACAGTGTATGAAAACTCAACCTCGCTCTGATACCACTTGTTGGGATTGGAAAATTCTTCTATTCAATATCAAGAACAGAATTACAATAGGAGGAGCAAACTCTCACACTCAACTATTACAAAAAACCAATCCTCACCAATACACTTCTACACTAAGTGTATTTCACTCTTCACACACTTTTCTCACTTTCTAAACTGATACTATGAACAACAATGGAGCACTCTATTTATAGGACTAGTTTGGAGACAAGAGGAAGTTGCTTCCAAGCTTCCAAGGTATCTCCATATCTTCTCCCACACCTATTTGTTGGAGAGCTCTTTCCAAGAAGGTGCCTCCATGTTAAGGTGTCTCTTGGAAACTTCCAAGAAAGAAGGTGGAATATCTCTACA